TTAGAATTGATTAATTTAATTAATTAATTACTGTTCCGGACCGGGGTTGGGAAAATGAAAAGTTCTTAGAAAAATTATTTGATCATATCATTAAATTCGTCTTGACTGTCTGATTCCAGAAACGCAAACGGATTTCAATTCGGACCCGTTTGGGGGAAAAAGCGCGTGCCGTTCAGGTCAGATTTTTACAATACGGAGTAAATAAGTTTTGTAACCTCCCTAGACCCTTGGTTCGGCTCCTTCAACACCCCCATCATTTCCAATTAATAGTCTCCTTAATCCACCATTAAAACCCCATCATTTTCCTCTCCCTTCACACCCCATTTTGTAACCCCCAAGTATTCACAATCTCCACTCTCTCTCACTCTCTCATTTTCGGCCAAGGCAAACAGCAGCTCAGGAATCTCCGGTGAAGCTCCGGTGGGTGCAAGGTTGAAGGAGAAGAAGAGCTAGGCCGTCGTGCAAGGCGTGGTTGTCGTTTGCCCGTTCGTTAGCACCATTCGTTCATCTCGTTCCATCAATCCCTTCATTTAGAGGTGAGTAGTTGTCCTTCTAATTCTAGAACATTTAGTTATAATCTATGTCGCTATATTCATAGGAATATCGTACGCAACCTACGTAGAATCTATGCATGTTCGTAGGATAGTCATCAAACATACGAGAGTCCGTGTTATCAAGTTACGAACTCGTTAATACAAGCATTTTGAAACTCCGTATATTCATGGAATACTTAACATGTAATCATAAACGTTCGTTCAAAGAAAACTCCCAACGTATTGATGATAACCAAACAATCAAAATGGGAATCAGCATGCCTTGGTAATCGATTTACAGAACGGAATAATCGACTATCAGGTCACGCTGAACTCCTCAGTTGATCCAGCATAGTGTGACAATCGATTATCACATAAGTGGTAATCGATTATCAGACCCTGCGGATTCTTGAGTCAGAGCTGGTTCACTTGACAATCGATTATCTCAGAGCAATAGTCGATTATCAGGTCTCTCTGAACTTAGGACTTTCCTGATAAACCAACTTGACAATCGATTGTCATAGGGTGACAATCGACTATCACAG